TCCAGCTGTGAGTGGATGGTGCAGAGTGGAAGGATTTATATTCCTTGCAGGCAGCTGTTCATTTTCATTATTTTACAGACGTTGAGGCCACTTGGAAGTTTATCTGTGTCTCAGGGCCAGCTGAGTAATGCAAAGGGGTGTAGACCATTCTCGGAACTGCTTAAAGGACTGTGTTGTAGAATGGAGATAGATGATGTCGTATCTCCCCCCTCTATTGAGAGAGGGCTATTCAACATCGTCTATCTCCAGTCTACAACACAGTCCTTTCTGCAGTTCCAAGAAGGCTCCACAACCATATGCACCATTCAGATGATCCTGAGAACACAGATAAGCCTCCAAGTGGCCTAAACAATTCTCTAAAAGAATGCAAAGGAGTATAAATCCTTCCATTCCCCACCATCCCATTAGAACTGAAGAAGCGTCTTGGATGAGAAGCGAAATGTCTTCAAAGAAAAACAAGAAAGTCCAATTGCCTCGTGAAAAAAGCACCTTTGGGCCTCTGGAAGGGAGAGGTGAAGAATTCAACCACATTCTTTATTCCAGTCAACCCCTTCTGGGCTGCCAAGGTGAAGGTCTCTCACCTGCTCCTTCTGCTCCCCTGCCTGGCTGAGGAGAAGGCCTTCCACCAGGGCCACTGCCTGGGAGCTGGTCTCTGCTCCACACTCCCGCACCCAGCTCTCCATCTCTGGAGGTAGAAGGGCCAGAAACTGCTCCAGAACCACCAGGTCCAGCATCTGGGCTTTGGAGTGCTTTTCTGCTTTGAACCATCGATTACAAAAGTCATGGAGTCGGCTGCAAAGTCCTCGGGGATCCTCAGAAGCCTGATATTGGACGCTCCTGAAGTTGCAGGACTGAACTTCGGAAGGGATGATGGTGTCTTCTTCCAGGATCTTCTGCCCACTTCTTGCCCAGGTCTCCTTACAGCACCCAGGCTGATCAGCTTTTCCAGTTCCCTCACTTGCTAAAGGTCGGGTCTCCATTCTTTCTCTGTCCTGTAACGCAACTCCAAATGGGTCCAAGGACTCTTATGTGAATCTCCAAGAAACGTTTCCTTTAAAGGACTGTTTCTCTTGCTGCAGCTGTGGTGATAGTTAGAGGTTCAGCTTTCTTTAGCGGAGAGATACTTTTATCTATAAAATTATATGATGAGTGCAAATGGCTTCCAGTTTGTGTCTCTAAGATAGAAAATAAAATAAATTCAGAACAAAACCGAATAATAAAGTTGGAAGGGACCTTGGGGGTCTTCTAATCTAACCCTAATCTAATCAAGGACAGAAGCAACCTAGAAGTATGAAGAAATTTCCTCACAGTTAGAACAATTAATCAATGGAATGACTCGCCTCCAGAGGTTGTGAATGCTCCAACAGTGGAAGTTTTTAAGAAGAGACTGGACAATAATTTGTCTGAAATGGTATAGGGTTTCCTGCCTGAGCAATGGGTTGGACTAGAAGACCTCCAAGGACCCTTCCAACTCTGTCATTCTATTCTATTCTATTCTATTCTATTCTATTCTATTCTATTCTATTCTATTCTTGCTGAATTAATGTAGTTGGAACATTTTCTATTTCTTGTTTCTTTCTCACAAGGAAGCTCTTGCTTTTTAAAAACTAAACCTACATTCACCTCCAAGCGGGTTCACGCAACATGTCAACACTCCAAACAAATTAGCCAACCAGAAAATCTCTGTTCCCCTCAACAGAAATGCAAGAACTAGCTTAGGATGCTCCATTACCCTTGTTCAAGACTGACTTTTAGAGCACCAAGACAGACTCTTACAGGCTGGCATCTCCACACAACATGCCCTGAAGCCCAAAAAGGTCAGTCAACAGTAGGAGCCAAGTTCTCCCCCCCAAACAGGGTCTGGAGATATCGTCCTGCTTCACTCCCCCTCCCAAGACAGGTTCCATTGTGAAGGATTTGGCTCTCTTTTGAGCCTCAGCCAGCACCTAGTGCGAATCCGGACCCATGTGGGGCACCTCCTGTCTTGCAAGGCTTTTTTTATCGCTAGCTTGAGATCTTCCTTCTTCTCCCCCCTTCCCCCTCCAGCTGTTCCCAGAAAACAAGGCGGGAAGGACTTCCCCAGTCCCCACTTCTTTCCTGGGAATCCTGAGTTCCGTCAAGGAGGGGGCAACAAGGCCGGTCTGGTCCTCTGCTTCCCCCCCCCCCATGTGTCTGTTGTGTGCATGGAAAGGCGGGCAGCTGGGGAACATGGGATTTGGTCTCTCCCACTCTTGGGACTCAGATGACTGAACTTGCATGAGGACTTGGCATGTGTCCCTCCCTCCTCCAGGATAAGGACCCTCCGCCTCCCTTTGCATAGGAAGAGAGACCCCCCCCTCTCCTCCCTTAGGGCCACATCTGGCTGCCTCCCCTGCAAGACATTCCCCCCGCCTTTTTATTTTCTTTTACCTGCAGCAAAGCGCAGAGGGTGATGGAGAGAGAGTGCAGCGTCCTAGAGAGGCAAAGCTCTGTGACGTCATTTCCTCCTCTTCTCTCCCTCTTGCTCCGGAAAGCCAGCTGTGGCCTTCGTCCTCCAGCCGCCCAATGGTGAAGCGCCCTGTGTTCCCTTCGCTTGGCAGAGGGATCCCCCTGGTGGATGCCTTGTGCAACGCAGGTGCTCAAGGCAAAGAGAGGAGAAAGACTGCAATTTCTATAAAATGCTGTCACGTCCTCTCCAAAAGCGTCTTCTTGCCCTCCTTTCTTTTCTCTTTTTTATAGAGGCTGTTATAAAAGGATGAAACATAGAATAAGACATAGAATAGCAGAGTTGGAAGGTAGCCTTGTAGGTCATCTGGTCCAACCTCCCCCCCCCCCCAGACCGTGGAGACCCATGGTGTATAAGTCTGTGGTTCTCAACCTTTTTAATGCCGTGACCCACAACCAGTCATAAGTCGAGGACTACTCAACTGGTCATAAATCGAGGACTACCCAACCAGTCGTAAGTCGAGGACTACCCAACCAGTCGTAAGTTGAAGACTTTCCTTGCCCGGGAGCCCCGTGCATGCGTGGTGCCGCCCCCTGTGCCGACTGAGGCGTAGCTGGCAAGTGGCAGTGATGGCGCAGGGCGACCACTGGCTGGGCCACCAGCTGGCTCAGCCCAAGGGAGGTAAGGCACCCGCCAGGCCCCACGCGCGCCAGCAACCCACCCTGTGCCCGCCGGCCTCCCACCTCCCACCCCTGGCCCTCTTTTACTTATATTTTTAGTAGTTGCTTAGCAGGGAGGGTGGAAACCTCCAGACAGTTCGCCTTCGCTGCAGACAACTTGCAGCACCGTTTGCAGAATGGGACTTTTGGCGGGCTCAGCAGGGCAGAGACAGCCTGGACAATTTCTATTGGCTTTTGAAAGCCAATAGAATTAGACTCTACTCAAGAGAGTCTATTCTATTGGCTTTCAAAAGCCAATAGAATAAAAGGGAGTAGCACAGCTAAGGGAAAGGGAAAAAAAATGGTGGACTGCGTTGTTTGGCGACCCTCATGAAATGGTCGTTTGACCCCAAATGGGGCCCTGACTCACAGGCTGAGAACCACTGGTCTAAGTGCTATTGCTAGTTGAAATACTAATTTCTTGGTGGAAAGGATTTGGCTGGCTGATTTGACTGGATGGAATTTTGTGATTAATTTCTTTTTGTAGTTCGGATTGTCCCTCGTGGAAGAGCTTGATATAATAATCACCCAGAGTTACCTTGAGATAAGATGCACAGCCTATATTTTATCTCCTTCATGGATTACTGCCTTGTCATAACTCAATGAAGCTATGAGCTATGCCGTGCAGGGCCACTCAAGACGGACAGGTCATAGCAGAGAGTTCTGACAAAATGTGATCCACTGGAGAAGGAAATGGCAAACCACTCCAGTATCTTTGCCATGAAAACCCCATGGACATATAGTATATAGTAACAGCGGCACCCATACCCTTCGCTCAAAAATGGAAAGAGAAAGATACTCCAACCGAAGAGGAAATATTATTGGAAAATTTCAATTGCGCTGAAATGGATAGACTTACATTGGAACTCAAGGATAAAAGTGAAACTAAGTACTACAAAATCTGGGAACAATTTTATGATTGGATAGACAGTAAGAGGGTAGCCAAGACAAATGCATAGTGTTAGAATAAAATATAGATTAGAGATAAATGTATATTTAAAAGATAAATAGATATACAGAAATAAGGGGGAAAGTGTTAATATTATATTATAAATAGTGAGCAAAGCTCAAGAACTATGTCTATATGAGTACTAATATTATTGTAAAATGTCAGAAAATGTATGGAACCAGTGACGTCATATCTATGTCCAATGTGTTTTTAATTTTGTATTACTAATAAAATTTATTTTTTAAAAAAACAACCCATGGACAGTAACAAAAGGCAAAAAGATATGACGCTGGAAGATGAGCCCCCCAGATTGGAAGGTGTCCAATATGCTACTGGGGAAGAGCAGAGGGTTAGTACTAGTAGCGCCAGAAAGAATGAAGCGACTGGGCCAAAGTCGAAAGGACGCTCAGCTGTGGATATCTGGTGGTGAAAGGAAAATCCGATGCTGTAAAGATCTTTTCTCCATAGGAACCTGGAATGTAAGATCCATGAACCAAGGCGAGCTAGACGTAGTCAAAAAAGAGATGACAAGACTGAACATCGACATCTTAGGAATCAGCGAACTAAAATGGACAGGAATGGGTGAATTTAACTCAGATGACCATCAGGTATACTACTGCGGGCAAGAATCCCTCAGAAGAAATGGAGTATCCTTCATAGTCAATAAAAGAATAGGAAAAGCAATACTGGGATACAGTCCCCAAAATGACAGAATGATCTCAGTTCGAATCCAAGGCAAACCATTCAATATCACAGTAGTCCAAATCTATGCCCCAACCACTGGTGCTGAAGAGGATGAAATTGACCGGTTCTATGAAGCCCTATACCACCTTATAGAATTAACACCCAAAAATGATGTCCTTATCATCATGGGGGATTGGAATGCTAAAGTAGGAAGCCAAAAGATAACTGGAATAACAGGCAAGTTTGGCTTTGGAGTACAAAATAAAGCAGGGCACAAGCTGATAGAATTTTGTCAAGAGAATATGATGGTCATAACAAACACTTTTTTTCCAACAGCCCAAGAGACGCCTCTACACATGGACATCACCAGACAGTCAACATAGAAATCAGATTGACTATATGCTCTGCAGCCAAAGATGGAGAAGCTCTATACAGTCAGTAAAAACAAGACCAGGAGCTGACTGTGGCTCAGATCATGAGCTTCTCGTTGCAAAATATAGGCTTAAATTGAAGAAAGTAGGGAAAAGCACTAGGCCACTCAGGTATGAACTATATCATATTCCTGATGAATATACAGTAGAGGTGACAAATAGATTTAAGGAATTAGATCTGATAGACAGAGTGCCTGAAGAACTATGGACGGAGGTTCGCAACATTGTACAAGAGGTAGCAACTAAAACCATCCCAAAGAAAAAGAAATGCAAGAAAGCAAAATGGCTGTCTGAGGAAGCTTTGCAAATAGCTGAGGAAAGAAGGGAAGTGAAAGGCAAAGGAGAAAGATACATCCAATTGAATGCAGAATTCCAGAGAATAGCTAGAAGAGATACTTAAATGAACAGTGCAAAGAAATAGAAGAAAACAATAGAATAGGGAGGACCAGAGATCTCTTCAAGAAAAATTGGAGATATGAAGGGAACGTTTCATGCAAAGATGGGCATGATAAAGGATCAAAATGGCAGGGATCTAACAGAGGCAGAAGAGATTAAGAAAAGGTGGCAAAACTACACAGAAGAACTATACAAGAACGAACTTAACGTCCCAGATAACCACGATGGGGTGGTCACTGACCTCGAGCCAGACATCCTAGAATGTGAAGTGAAATGGGCCTTAGGAAATCGGAGCAACAACAAAGCTAGTGGAGGTGACAGCATTCCAGATGAGCTATTCAAAACCTTAAAAGACGATGCAGTAAAAGTGCTACACTCAATTTGCTAGCAAATTTGGAAAACTCAACAGTGGCCACAG